TGGTGTTGATGCACACCTGTAATTCCAAGCACTCAGATCTCAAAAAAAAAAAAAAAAAAAGGCATGACTCACACAACAGTTAGGTAAGATCTCACTGGTGCTTGAACTCAGGGCCTCATAATTTTACATAATAGAAACCTGAGGCGAACTCGCTTGTATTCCAGGACGAGGGTACAATTTTCTCAATTCTGCCACTAGGCAGATGATAAATGACACCAGGTACATCCAGGAACTACAGAAGAGGCCTCTTCAAAGGGAGTAACCCCATGGCCGGGCGCTGGTGGCTCACGCCTGTAATCCTAGCTACTCAGGAGGCTGAGATCTGAGGATCGCGGTTCAAAGCCAGCCCAGGCAGGAGAGACCGTGAGACTCCTATCTCCAATAAACCACCAGAAAACCGGAAGTGGCGCTGTGGCTCAAGTGGTAGAGCGCTCGCCTTGAGCTGAAGAGCTGAGGGACAGCGCCCAGGCCCAGAGCTCAAGCCCCATGGCGGACAAAAAAAAAAAAAAAAGGGAGTAACCCCTTCAAGGGCAGAGTTGCTCTGTATAACTGTATGTCCCATACTGCCAAGCTCCTTTCATTTCCCCAGAAAAGCAAGAAATGTAAATTGTGTGTGAATTTTCCTCTTTCTATGTTGTAAAGCAACTTAAACATTAAATTTAGGGGAAGCTCAATGTACAACTCAGTGGTAAAGTTCATACTTAAGATGCACAAGGTCCTACCTGGATTTCTGTATGACAAAGAGAGAGGGAAAAAGGAAGAGGGGAAAAAAAAGAAGCAGGGAGAGATGGTACTGGATATGATCCAAGTAGTGGAGAACCCTCCTAGCATGTTTGAGGCCTTGAATTCAAACCCCATTATCACTAAAAAACCCCAAGACCATATCCCTTCTTTGTTCAAACTGATATATGTTTCCATCATGATTAAGGCCAAGCTCCTTGCAAGAACCTCCATTAATATATACATTTCTTTTACTTGACTCTTCCCGTGTGGTGCCCTGTGCTGTCTCAGACTCTGCCAGCAAGAAGGCCATTACAATCAGGTGCCAGTGGCTCACGCCTGTCATCCTAGCTGATACTCAGGAGGCTGAGCTCTGAGGATCATGGTTTGAAGCCAGCCTGGGCAGGAAAGTGTGTGAGACTCTTTATCTCCAATAAACTACTCAGAAAAACCTGGGGGCTGGGAGTGTGACTTAGTGGTAGAGTGCTTGCCTAGCACGCATGAAGCCACGGGTTCGATTCCTCAGTACCTCAGTACCACATAAACAGAAAAAGCCGGAAGTGGTGATGTGGCTCAAGTGGTAGAGTGCTAACCTTGAGCAAAAGAAGCTTAGGACAGTGCCCAGGCCCTGAGTTCAAGCTCCAGGACTGGCAAGAAAAAGAGAAAGAAAGAGAGAGAGAGAGAGGGGGGGGGAGAGAGGGAAGGGAAGGAGGGAAGAAAGGAAGGAAGAAAGGAAGGGAGGGGGAGGGAGGAAGAGAGGGAGGAAGGAAAGAAGGAAGGAAAAGAAGAAAAGACAAATCTGGAAGTCATGCTAGGGCTCCCGTGGTAGAGCACTAACCTTGAGCACAAAGAGGCTCAGGGACAGAGACCAGGCCCTGAGTTCAAGCCCCAGGACTGGCAAAAATAAGATAAGAAAGGAAAAGAAGTCATCAATAGAATCAGCCACAGTCAAAATTAACCTCAATTAATTTTTTTTTAAAAGCTGGACAACATGTGATTTCAGCACTAGGGAGGCTAAGACAGGAGGATGGTCTACTGAGACCCTGCCTAAAAAAGTAATAATACTCTGCCTGGTGCCAGTAGCTTATCCCTGTAATCCTACTTACTAAGGAGGATGAGCGCTGGAGGACTGTGCTGAGCCCAGCGCTTTCGTTTGTATTGTGTTGCTGAATTAGGTTCTTGAACTAACTTGCCAGTACTTGAAAGTTAAATCTACTGACACTGGGGCTTGAACTCAGGGTCTCTCACAGTCTCACATGGCTTTTTCTGCTCGAGGATGGTGCTCTACTACTTGAGCCATGAGTCTGGCCTTTTGCCGGTTAACTGGACCATCTCATGGTCTTTTCTGTCTAGTCTGGCTTCAAACTTCCATCCTCAGATCTCCTCCTCCTGAGTAGCTGGGATTACAGGTGTGAGTCACCGGTCCCCTGACTTATTTATTTACTACCTTTTAGAATGTGTTTATACGAAGAGTCCAGTACACACAGGGAAGAGCCCTAGCACACAGAAGGCGCTTCAGATCCATTTTCCCAGATTAAACAAGCCCACAACAGTAACATCAACGACACTCGATGGTGAGTTCACCTCACTGAATTCCGCAGTACCCGGCGGGGCGACCCCAGCCTCCCTCTGCTTCGATGTGACTTGCCTACTTTTCTCTCTCACTCCCGATAGTGTGGAAACTGCCAGAAACTACCGATCTGGATTCCCACAGGGGCCTGTCAGCCCGGTCCCCCGGGCGGATCCGACGCCTCTCCCAGGGCCCCCCAGCTGCACACCTCGGCCTCCTCGCCATCACTGCTGCGTTCGCTGTCCTCTTCTTCAGAGAAGTTGCTGTCTTCGCTATCCGACATCTTCCGCTGGTAGGAAAGAGACAGAGAGAGTGAGGGGAAAAACAAAGACCGCCGCTCCTACCCCGTGCCTCAGTTTCCCCGCAAGTTCCTCAGGGTGAACTTAAATAAAAATCCCGAGGCGCACTTCCGGACAGCTCCGTGCTGACCGTCGCGATTCCGAGTGGGGACTCCACTTAGTCACCGATCCCCGGTCCCCGGATGCAGTCTCTACACCTCGCCCACCCGACGCCAGCGGCCCGGGGGGGTCAGCCCCCTCCGCACCCCTCCTTACCGCGGCCAAGCGACCTCAGGCTGCGGTGCCAGCTGCTGCGCGCACGACGCCCGGTGGGACTCAGGAGTTCTCTCGCGAGAACTTCTCAGTGAATCTCGCCGAATGCGTGAGTTCCAGGCGGGTCCGGAGGAGTCACTTCCTGCCGCCATCTTGAGCGTGGCAGCGGTGGCGTCCAGCGAGCGCCATCTTGGGAGAGGCCCGGATAGAAAGTTTCTCGCCTTCAAGATCCGACTTCGTCCCGCCTGGAACCCGTGCTTGACTTTGTCCCGTAGACCCTCGGAGACACCCCTGGGTGATGTTCGTCCCATTTTCCAAGAGAGGAAAAGTTTTAAAAGAAAACAAGAGCAGGGTACTTGTGGCTCATGCCTGTAGTAATCTCAGGAAACTGAGGCCCGAGGATCCAGGTTCGAAGCCAACCTCAGCAAGCAAGTTTGTGAGAGGCTTTTCTCCAACTAACCACCAAAAAAAAACAAAAAGTGGAGCTGTGGCTCAAGTGGCAGAGCGCCATCCTTTAGTACAAAAAGCTCAGAAACGGTGCCCAGGCCCCGAGTTCAAGCCCCAGAACCAGCACCAAAAGGTAAAAAGAGAGAGAGAAGAAAAACACCACTTCTGAGTGACCTTTCTTTGTTTTCTACTGCTATCTGCTGAAAGTTGACAAATATGCACATTACAATGTTCATCTTGGACATTAATTCTAACTCTGGGCTTGGGTGCTGTTCTCAGCTCTTCAGCTCAAGGCAAGTGCTCTACCGCTTGAGCCACAGCTCCACTTCCGTTTTTCTGGTGGTTTATTAGAGATAAGAATCTCACGGACCTTCCTGCTTGGGTTGGCTTTGAACTGGGATTCTCAGATCTCAGCCTCCTGACTAGCTAGGATTACAGGAGTGAGCCACCGGCACCCAGCTTAATTCTACTTTGAGATCCTTGTGCAGTGTATGACATTCTCATCCACCTACCACAAAGAGTGAGGTGAAGAAATGCATATATTTAAAGCATTTAGAACAGTACACGACATAGAGTTAGCACTATTTAGGTGTGACTGTAATCATTGTCATGATTGTTTATTATGTAATTGTTCTAGGGTTTTGTTTACTTTTTGTGTGTGCTGGTACTGGAAGTGTGGCTCAAATGGTAGAACGCTTGTGTGTGCGTGCACACACACAATTTGAGGAATTCAGAAGAAAGCTTCTAGGGTAGAGATCCTGAAGAGGGACCCCGGGGATAGGACTCTGGTGTTTGTGTGAGAAATTCCAGAATGATTAGTCCCTGAAGATGTAGAAATTCTAGGAAAATTGGTGGGGTTAGGGAGGGAAATGGGAGAAAAATGACGGGAGGGGGTAACGAATTCGACAGGAAATATACTCACTACCTTACATATGTAACTGTAACTCCTCTGTACATCACCTTGACAATAAAAATAATTCCAAAAAATTCTGGGAAAAGATTGACTCGGGAGAATGTTGTAATATGAAGCTCTGGCATAGGTGTCCTGGGAAATGAGGGTTTGAGTAAAGAGGAAGAATCTGGAGGACGATTGCTATGTTAGTGGGTTCTGAAGAGAGAATGACTGGGGGAGGAGAGGGCTCTGAATAGCTGGAGATTCAAAGAGGTTCAAGGGCCCAGGGCGAGGAGGGCTCTAAAGAGGCAGGTTAAGTGGGGTAGACTGAGAGGAAAATTCCGGGAGACGAGGGTTCCGGTAAGAGAATAGAAGACCGAAAGGGAGAAAAGTCGTCTAACAGAGTCTAAAGAAAGGGGGACAAATTGGGGGGGGGAGCTCTGATGAGCAAAGGATTTTAGAAGTGCTCTGGAAGGAAATGGATTCTGGCGGGGGGCAGAATTCTGAGAATCCAGCTTTATTTCTTGCATTAGATTCCTAAATGAAGATTGACCGGGGGATTCTGGAGATACAGAAAAAAAGGAAGATGGTATCAAAGAGCAGAAGGCCCAAGTGCAGAAGTAGAAATCCGTGGCAGTAGGCGGGGCCAGATGCCAGGGGCTCTGTAAGGCTCAGGCCCCGCCCCCTCGACTCCCTAGGGCGTTCTCGCCACCTGCCCAGAGGCCCCGCCCCCAGCCATAAAGCGCTCTTTTTGTCGCAACGCGGCGCTCGGCGCGCCTGCGCAGACCTTAGGGGAAAAAAAAAAAAAAAGCAGCCGGGTTGGCCTCACTCTTTCCTTTTCCGGTTGCGGCGCCGCGCGGTGTGGAGCTCGTGTCTGCTTCGTAGCCATGCCGTCCAAGGGCCCGCTGCAGTCCGTTCAGGTCTTCGGACGCAAGGTGAGCCGATCGCGGGTGTCGGGGAATGTCCCGGGTTTGGGGAGGTTTTCTTGTATTTGGGGGGGGGTGAGCGATCGTCGTGAGAATCGAGGCCTACATTTCCGTGTTCCTTTCCCCTCCCCCACCCCGGTCCCTTTTGCTTCCCACAGAAAACCGCCACCGCCGTGGCCCACTGCAAACGCGGGAACGGCCTCATCAAGGTGAACGGGCGACCCTTGGAGATGATCGAGCCGCGCACGCTGCAGTACAAGGTGCTGGGATCCGGAGGGGCTTTAAGGATCGTGAGCGTACTCCATGATAGAACCAGAGGGAACCTGCATCCGAAAAGGGTCTTTGGGACCCTGGAAACGGGCTTGAGTGCAGAAGATGTCAAAAAGCCGAGTTGGGGAAAGTGGGATCGAGGATGTAACAGGGGAAGGGCGGGTGCTTTGAAAACTTGGTTTGGCGGGGCGCTGGTGACTCACACAAGGTTGAGATCGGGAGGAATGAGGCTCGAAGCCAGCCCGAGCAGGAGACTTTCAATTCCAATTAAGCATCAAAAAGCTGGATGTTGGAGCTGTGGCTCAAGTGGTAGACTACTAGCTCTGAACAAGAAAAACTTAAGAGACAATGACTAGATCCTTAGTTCTCCTAGTTTCAGTAGCAATACAGGGAAGGGAAAAGAATCCTAGTATGATTGAAGTCTATTCATCTGGGGACCCAAGGTGGCCAGGGAAATAGCAAAATCTATGTATCTTGGAGAATGTTTTTTGCTTTTGCACTCAGTGTTTGTGCTTGCCAGGTGAGCATTCTACTGTTGTGCATGTACACAGCGCTTTCCTTGATTCTGTTTTTAATAGAATCACATGTCTCTTTATGCCCATGCTTGCTGGATTTCAATCCTCCTATTTAAGATTCTAGAGTATTTGAGATGATGGATGGGCAACACCTCATTCAGCTTTCTGGTGAGACAGGATCACCTGAACTTTTTGCCTGGAGGAAAGGATTAGTTTTATTCCTGATGAATCTCAAGTCTTGTGTGTGTTGATAGTGGGGTTTGAACTTGGGTTCTGGACACTTCCTGAGGTCTTTTGCTCAAATTTAGTGCTATACCACTTTGAGCCACAACACCACTTCTAGTTTTCTTGTGGTTAATTGGAAATAAGAATCTCACAGACTTTCCTGCCCAGACTGGCTTTGAACCATGATCCTCATATCTTAGCCTCTTGAATAGCTAGGATTGCAGGTATGAGCCACTGTCTCCTGGCTTTCTCAAGGTTTAAGAGTTTGGGCAGTTTATCAACCTGTGTTATTTGTTACTTTTTTTTTTTGCCAGTCCTGGGACTTGAACTCATGGACTGAGTGCTTAACTAGTGCTTTATCACTTGAGCTCTACTTCTGGCCTTTTCTGAGTAGTTTATTGCTATGGGAGTCTTAATGGACTTTGCTGCTCTGGCTGGCTTCAAACTATGATCCTCAGATCTCAGCCTCCTGAAGTAGCTAGGATTACAGGCATGAAACATGGGTGCCTGGCTTGATTGATTGATTGGTCGGTCGGTCATGGGGCTTGAACTCTGGGCTTGGGCACTGTCCCTGAGCTCTTCAGCTCAAGGCGAGGGCTCTACTGCTTGAGCCACAGTGCCACTTCCAGCTTTCTAGTGGTTTATTGGAGATGAGTCTCACAGACTTTCCAGCCCTGCCTGGGCTGGTTTTGAACCGCGATCCTCAGATCTCAGCCTCCTGAGTAACTAGGATTACAGGTGTGAGCCACCAGCATCAGGCTCTGGCTTTATGTTAAAAAGGGAAGAGTAGGGCTGGAAAAGTGGCTCAGTGGTAAAATGCTTGCTTGCATACATGAGGCCCTTGGTTCGATTCCTCAGCACCACATAAGCAGGAAAGGCTGGAAGTGGTACTGTGACTCAAGTGGTAGAATGCTAGCCTTGAGCTGAAGAGCCGAGGGACAGCACCCAGGCTCAGATCTCAGGCCTTATGGCCGGCCAAAAAAGGGGGTGAGTGGGGATATACACACTACAAGGCAGTTAAGAATTAATAGGATATGAGACTCCTTTCATAGCTGATACTAAATACTGTGTTTTGTTGTTGCTGGTTTGATTGAAGGATTTGCATGTGACCCTGATTGACAATTGGCCCAAAAGCTTCCAGCATAGTGAAGTCTCGAGGTGCACTGGTCTGGTTGCTAGAAACTAGTCCTAAGTGGTCAGGGATGGGGAACCTAGGGAAGTTTGGGAAGGGTTAAAAGGTGTGCTGTAGGTGGTACCACTGGGAAATTTGAAAGGGAAGACAAAGGGGCTGGGAATGTGGCTTAGTGGTTAGAGTACTTGCCTAGCATGCATGAAGCCCTGGGTTCCATTCTTCAGTACCACATACACAGAAAAAGCCAGAAGTGGTGCTGTGGCTCAAGTGGTAGGGCACTAGCCTTGAGTACAGAGGCTCAGGGTTCTAGCCCAGGCCCTGAGTTCAAACTGCAGGGCTGGCAAAAGAAAAAAAGAATAGGGTACCAGTGGCTCATGCCTGTAATCCCAGTTACTCCGGAAACAGATCTGGAGATAGCAGTTCAAAGCTATCCCAGGCAAGAAAGTTTGTGAGACTCTTACCTCTAATAAAACACCAGGAAACCGGAAGTGATGCTATGGCTCAAAGGGTAGAGCACTAACCTTGAGCTAAAGAGCTTAGGGAGAGCCCAGGCCCAGAGTTCAAGACCCACGACTGACCCCAAAAACAGTTTCACTGAACAGAGTGCATGTATGGAGGTCAGAAAGGACAGCTGAGTGCTTTTGTTGGTCTAAAAATTCATCCTAGAGGCTGGGAAGAGGTACAACTTCTGATCATTGCTCCTGCTCCTCTATATATAGTTACTGGAGCCTGTTCTGCTTCTGGGGAAAGAGCGGTTTGCTGGCGTGGACATCCGTGTCCGTGTGAAGGGCGGTGGTCATGTGGCTCAGATTTACGGTGAGTCTCAGTTCTGGACCTGTGGGGCGGGTTAGGTGGTCCTGGGAACAGGACCCACCCTGTCTTAGCCCCCTCTAGTTCAGATACTAACCCTTTGTCGTTGTGTGTCTTCACAGCTATCCGTCAGTCCATCTCCAAAGCCCTGGTGGCCTATTACCAGAAGTGTGAGTTGGGGGTCATTCCCAGTGGGTGATGGGTGATAGGGGGCTCAGGGAGGAATCTTGTGGAATTATCTGTATCTTTACCTTTCTCATCTCCAGATGTGGATGAGGCTTCCAAAAAGGAGATCAAAGACATCCTCATCCAGTACGACCGCACCCTGTTGGTGGCTGATCCCCGACGTTGTGAATCCAAGAAGTTTGGAGGCCCTGGTGCCCGTGCCCGCTACCAGAAGTCCTACCGATAGGCCCATTATGGGGTCCAGATTGGGGCTCACCTTTGTAATAAAGATTGTGGGATTTTAAGGTTTCAAGGACTGTGATGTGCTTTTCTGTGGTGGTGGTGGTGGTGGGTCTGATGGATGGAATGTAAGCAGCTGTCCCCCAGCTTGTGGCCAGACTTGATCCCACCCCTCACCCCCCCCCCTTTCCTGGAAATGATTTTCAGTACAGGTAGGTATAGGGTGTGGAGGCAGAGCTGAGCAGGCAGTGGTTCTGTTTTCTGTTCCATCCTGGAGCCTAATTTGGGCTACAGGGGCCTGTGCTTTATCAGCACTCCCCTTCCTTCCCCATGGATTATTTTATTTATTTATTTTTGGTCGGTTGTGGTCTGAACTCTGGGCCTGGGCACAGCTCAAGCGCTACCATTTGAGCTCTTTTTTTTTTTTTTTAGCTTATGTGGTGCTGAGGAATCAAACCCAGGGCCTCATGCATGCAAGGCAAGCACTCTACCACTGAGCCACCTTCCCAGCCCCTCTGTGTGTGTGTGTGTGTGTGTGTGTGGTCATGGGGCTTTAACTTGGCTTGGGACCACTTCTGGTTTTCTGGTGGTGAATTGGAGTCTCATGGACTTTCCTGCCTAGGCTGGCTTTTGAACCACAATCCTCAGACCTTAGCTTCCTGAGTAGTTAGGATTATAGGTGTGAGACACCAGTGCCCAGTTTATTTTGATTTCTTGCAGGACTGTGGAATAGAACCCTGGGGTCTCCTGCACACACGACAAGCATTTTTACTATTGAGCTGCACCCCATTCTTAGTGGGTTTTCCCTCTGAGCTCTTGCTCAAACTGGCCTTGAACCCCTGGGCTCAAGGATTTCCCTCTGAGCTCTTGCTCAAACTGGCCTTGAACCCCTGGGCTCAAGGAATAATCTGCCTTAACCTTAGGAGTACAGCCATAAGAGTTCCACTACTACACCCACTAACACTATTTTAATAGCAGGAAGAGTGGAAGGTCAACAGGAAAACTGCTTTGGCCTTTTACTTCAGTGGATGAGTGCCATGCCCAAGTTAAAAAGAGCTGTTTGTGTGTGTGTGTGAGTGTGTGTGTGTGTGTTTTGCTGGTCCTGGGGCTTGAACTCTGGGCTTGGGCCCTGTCTCTGAGCTCTTTGCTCAAGGTTAGTGCTCTACCACTTGAGCTACAGTTCCACTTCAGCTTTTTTTTTGGGGGGGGGAGGGGGAGGGATCCGGTCCTGGGGCCTGAACTCGGCCTGGGCACTGTCCCTCAGCTCTTCAGCTCAAGGCTAGCACTCTACCACTTGAGCCATAGTGCCACTTCCTGCTTTTTTCTTTTTGCTTATGTGGTGCTGAGGAATCAAACCCAGGGCCTCTGGCATGCAAGGCAAGCGCTCTACCACTGAGCCACCTTCCCAGCCCCCACTTCAGCTTTTTTTGAGTAGTTTATTGGAGATGAACCTCATGGGCTTTGCTGCCCTGGTTTAGTTTCAAACGATCCTCAGATCTCAGCCTCTTGATTTGCTAGGATTACAGGTGTGAACTACAAGTGCCCAGCCTTTTTTTTTTTTTTTAAAGATCTCCCATGTTACCTAGTACGTCCTGGAGCTCACCCTTCTGCTTCAGCCTCCTGTATATTGGGATTATAGACAGGTGCCAGTATTAGCTGCAAGGTTGGTTGTGAGCTTTTTTTTTTTTTTTGGTCCACTAGTTTTTTGGTGCCATTCCACCATCCTCCCCCTAGGGGACACCTGGTAAAAAGTTCTGGCTTCTTTAGATCAGGTTCCTGTGTGTTTTGCATAAGATTTCTCTGGGAGGTTTGTTTTCATGTCTGTAATGGTATTAGCCAGTTTACAGGTTGGATGTATGGCTCAAAGCCCTGAGTTTGAACCCCTACCCTACCCCATCCCCAAAGTCAATATTAACAAAACCTTTTGTTGGTATAAGCCAAAATCCCAGTGTCCTGGAGGTTGGGATAGGTTCAAAGCCAGCCTGATCCTAATAGATAATGTGTGTGGCTTAAGCCATTGGTTTCTCCCCTTTTGAAGTGCAACAGTAACAAGTAGTTTGCCGAGGGTACATGAGCTGGGCAGCTGGGTGTTCTGGAAAAAATAGGCTATTCATACATAATAGTGGGTCTCCAGAACCAGTCTCCTGGGGAAAGTATGAGAACCCACTTTTTTCTTTGCTCACTTAACACCTGTCTTGAACATCTGTACTAAGCTAGGTGCTGATCTGGGGCCCGCTGTGGTGGCCATTGCTAGAGAAAGGTTCTGGGGGAGCAGCCTGGAAGCTACCTTGGGGAGCAGAGATAATGTCTACTGCCAATCTCAAGCAAGGCTATGGAAGGCTACACTGCTGCAGTGTTCCTTCAGTGGCCGGCTTTCCATGCATCCATTTGGCCCCAGACAGCGTGGCCACGCCCCCAGCCACTTGCTGTTCACCAATGGCTGACCAGAACCTTTCCTGGGCAACAGGAGTGAATGGGACATGAGCCCATAGCACCAGGTAGTTGCTGGTCCAGCATTCTGGAATATCCTCCAGTGGCCCACATTGCTAGCCCTGAAGGCAACCTGGGAAGCAGAGTGTTATGCAGCTCACCCAAGCTCTGAGCTGCAGGTGACTGGGTAAGGAGGGAGTGGGGACCAGGGGACCTTTGTCACCCCATGGGGTCCTCCAGTAGATTTTTGGGATGTGGAACCACACCATGAAGCTGGGTTAGAAGATGAAGATACAGGAGGAACAAAGGACAAGCCAGGATCCTATTGTTTCTCCTGGAGGATCCAGAGACCCTCTAACTGAGGCTCCTAGCTGCCTCCCAGAGGCACAGCTGGGACCCATCTGGAGAGAGGCCTCTCCCCACCTCCTTCCAGGCCATGAAGCAGACAGTCCCTTCTCTCTCCACCCCCCACCCCTTCCTCCACAAATGCCAGGAATTCCGGCTTCAAGAGGCCCACAGGCCAGGAACTTTCCTTCAGCTGGGAATGTACAGCTGGGGGTGGGTGGAAGGGGGGGGGGGAGAAGGGGAGGCCTAGACTCAGGCCTGACCTTAGGGAGGTCACAGCTCCATCTTCAGCCACTATACAGGGTTTAGGGTCTGCCTCAGTCCCCACGATGCAGCCTGGGTCTTAGTGCACAGTAGCCACGAAACACATGCCAGTAGCTATTTCTAGAATCCCAGCCTTGTGCTGGCTGGCTGCTCTACTTGAGGGAGCTTCCAGAGACTTCTTCCTCCTGTACCCCTGGGGGGCAACTAAGGGCCTTGGCACTGGAGACAAGCTCTAGGATGTATCTCAGTACAGGTGAAAGGCTGAGCAAGTCTCTTCAAGTCTCTTGATGTCTGTACCTCAATTTCCTCTACAGTGAATGAAAAACACTCTCAGGAAGCTGGGAGCATGGGGAAGGGGGGTATAGAGTCCTGAGCATCACAAAAAAGAAAATAATTGCCTTCTTCCTTTTAGGAAGGGGAAGAGGTAAAGACCATTAAAAAATATATATATATGAATGAGCTTACACAGATTGAGTACTGCTAGCGTTCAGTTAGGCTCAGCTCTTTTGCAATGAGCCAGTTGAAGTTCAGATTCCTAGGCCCTTGCTTTCCAAGTTTTCAGGGTGGGGGGAGTGGGGTGTTGCTATGGCGGGGTGGGGGGACAGATCTGGGGAGAACTGTGATTTAAACAATGCCTTTGGTGAGTCAGATGTTCAGGCCCAGTTGGGCAGTGGCTCACACACCCGCAGCATGCCAACATCATTCCTGGAGGCAGATAATATTGTCATTTTACAAGGCAAGAAAACCCCCCAGAAGCCCACAGAGCCAAATCACCCACCAAGCAGAAAGGTTGGGGCTGAGATGTACAGCCAGGCAACCCCGGGATGGAAGCAGCTGGCACAGAATTCCAGGGAAAGTTCCACAAGCTTCAAACACACTGCTTAAATCATGTCCTAAAGTGGGCATACCACTGGTGGGTGGGGCAGAAAGATCCTCACATAAAAGACTTTTGTCTCTGGGCTGAATTATTTTGTTAGGGGGTAGGAGGATGTTGAGGAATGATAGAAGGGCCCAAACAAGTGGGTGGGCCCAAGAATTGGAACATTTCATAAGCAGGGGGAAGGAGGGGAAGGGATAGGGATGCCAAGGGAAATCAGACTAATGTGGGGACAGACTTCTCCAAAGATCCAAACCTGGATTGCCTTAAGTTTTGTTTTAGTGCCAGTACTGGGGCTTGAACTCAAGGCCTGGGTGCTGTTCCTGAGCATTTTTTACTTAAGGCCTAATGCTCCACCACTTTGAGCCACAGTCCCACTTCCAATATTTAGGTGGTTCACTGGAGATAAAGAGTCTCACAGACTTTCCTGCCAGGCTGGCTTTGAACTGAAATCCTTAGACCTCAGCCTCCTGAGTAACTAGGATTGTGGGCAAGAGCCACTGGAGCCTGGCATGCCTCAAGTGTTAATATGGAATTGTCTCTGAAATGGAGCTGTGGCTCAAGTGGTGAGTGCTAGCCTTGAGCATAAACACTCAGGGACAGCACCCAGGCTCTGAGTTCAAGGCCTCAAACCAGCACACATACTCACAAAAAGGCCAAGTGGGTGAGAGGAACAGATGGACGGCGGCAGAATACCATGAAGTGGATGGACTGCTAAGGGAACAAACCTCAAGGGGTTTCTCCTTGGGACAAGAATAGTTGTTGCCATGGCTGACCTCAAAAGTCCAGATTGACACAAGTGATTCTCCTACCTCGGCCATCTGAGTAGCTGGGACTACAGGTATGTTTCACCATGCCCAACTTGAACAAGACTGCTCAACTTGGAACCTTCCTGGATAACCATCAATGCTAACCTTAAAACCACACTCCAAACTCCAGCAGCCCCAAAGTTGGACAATTCTCCAAAGAGCTTGAAGTTCTCCACGCTTCCAGAACCATTGCCCCCGTTAGCATCAGCCCCTTTTCCCACTGATCACATCACCTCCCTCCACTTCCAGAACGGGGACAACCGCACACCATTTCATCATATGAATTAATTCACAAAAGAAACGTGACATCTCCTTCTCCATCCCCTGTGCATCCATGGAGGTCAGAAGAGGAAGGACATCCCAAGGGGCCCGGAAGTCCCCGACACATTCTAGAGTTGTTTGTGGAGTTTGGAGGACATGGATGGTATTCTGGTTGATTGTCCTGACTGTGTGAAAGCTCACAGGTGTGAAAGCATATCAGGAGGTGCCCCCTGGGCTCTGGGAAGGTCCCCAAGTTCCTGGGTAGGGGGCCAAAAGGGCAGGGTGATTCAACCTGACCTGGGCCTTGGCTGGTCGTAGCCGCCCTCCCCCTCCTACATGAATACTGACGGTGGTTGCGTAACTCAGCCGTCTTGCTGGAGGGGGCGGAGGCTGGGGCTGGGGGGGTGGGGATGGCGCCCGGGATGTGGGAGCAGAAGAGGACCAGGAACCCCGAGAAGTTAAGGAGAGCTCTCCTCCAGGTCCCTGCCGCCGAGCTAAACTCTGGCTGATATATGAGGCGGCCAAATATCGGGAAAGGGCGGTGGCATTGGGGCCCAGGAGCTGACGGGTCGGGGGTGGGGGGCTGCAGGGTGGGGTCGAGTCTGCAGGCTCTGATTTTGTCACAGGAGAGGGCAAGGGACCTCCAGGTTTGGATAAAACCATGGTGGCCTGAACCGGGGGCGACCACCAGTGGAGATGATCTGGAGAATTCTCTTGCTCAGCCAAAGACATGACAGTTGGAATAGGGCTGTCTGGGCAGTTCTGTTGATCCAACAAAGGTGTAGTGGGTTGGGGAGCTTGTGTGTCTGTGAGGCTGTGTCCCTGAAGCAGAGGGGTGGCAGCAGTAGCCCACGAGTCTGGAGGAGCTTCTTGTTTGGGCAAAGGTGGGAGATCTTGGACCCCAATGTCCTTAAGGCCTTGTGGCTGGTGTAACAATGTGGCACCTGTATCCTGACCATCTGGGAGATCCTCAGAGCCAAAAGGTGACGCACTGGCTGACATTGGACAGCTCGGGTGGCCTCCAGCGGCCAGCAGAGGTGAGGCACCTGGACAAGAAATCTCTGCAAGGTCATCTGATAATGGCAGTAAGGTGGCTGACGGGATCTCATGGTCCACGCTGCTCCCACGTGTTGGCACATGGTAGGTGGCTGGGTCAGAAACAGAGACTGGGCCTTGATCGTCCTGGCATTCTCTCTGCTCAGTTTCTGGGGAGCTGGCTGGGCTCTGGCTCTCTGGTGGCTCTTCTTGCTCAGCCAATGAGGTGGAAGCTGAATCGGTGACGTCAGAATAGCTTCTCTGCAGAGAAACCTGGCTTCCCAACTGGCTTTGATCGGACCAAGTTGAAACAGCTGGACACTGGACATCTGCAGGGCTGTCCTGTTCACAGGGCAAAGGTGATGGGACTGGAGGCTGGTTCCTGAAGTCTCCTTGTTCCGGCCAAAAGGGAGGTGGCTGAATGTGGCTGCCTAGATGGTCTTGCTCAGGTACAGTTGAGACACCTAGGCTCTGGCCACTCAGGTGGCTTCCCTTAGACAAAGGGGTGGCAGTTTGAAGCAGAGCAGCAGGGCCCAAGGGGACAGATTCCTGGGAACAGGTCATAGGGAAGGCCAGCTCACACACTAGCACGTGTCCAAAGGCAGGCGGAGACCCTGTGTGCAAAGCAAACAAAATTAATGCCAAGTGCAGCGGCACACACCTGTAATCCCAACTACGAAAAGCATAACTCTACCTGAACAGTAACTGAAAATGAAAAGGGCTGGGGAAGGAGGGGGGGGCATAGCTAGGCAAGCTTGAGACTCTGATTCTTCAGATGTCTGACAAGCCATCTCTGCAGACCTACCATGTAGCAGATCTCACCTGGCTCAGCCTCCTCTTGGGGCAGACAGGGGGCTGGCTGAGGTTGGGCCAGGACCCGTGGTCGGCGGCGGGGGGCATTGATGGATGCCTGCGTCTCAGCCCTCTGCATCTGCTGGATGCGTTCACTATAAAGCCGGGCCAGTTCTCGAACCCGGGACGCTGCCCGCTCTGAATGTGGGGCTCCTGCCTTGCCACTGCCTCCACCAAGATCAGAGTCTTCCAGGATCAAGAGAGGCTCGGGGAAGCCGGGCCGGGCCAGACGACCCTGCTCCATAGCCTGCCAGGCACTCCGGATTTCCGAGCAGGAGCGGAATTCCTGTTCATCGGCAAATCCCTGAGCTTGAGTGACATCTTGGGGTTGGAAAGTTTGGGATGAAAATCTTCTCTCTTCCTCCTGCGCTGTCCTGCTTCCTGAAGAGGGACCCCTCAGTTCTCCAGGATCGTTGGCACAGATGAGTTCTGGTCCTGGGAGCCAGGAGTCATGGGGGACAGAGGAAGGGTTGGGGACATCAGAGCCACTAGTAATGGCTGGAAAGCAGGGCACTTGAGGAATGTCAGGGAGGCTGTGAACATCCGGGACCTTGGGAAGGCTGGCACTGTCCGGCATGTCAGCTGTGTTGGAACTTTCTAGTTCCTCTAAGACATGGAGTGGAGAAGGCTCCCTTTCATCCATCTCCGGTTCTTCCTCTTCTTCCTCCTCTTCTTCCTCCTCCTCCATCTCCTCTTCTGAAGACTCTCTGCCGGGCAAGGATGAGAGGGCTTTGCTGTCATCTGGTGCTTTTGGGATATCTCCAGGGAACTTGGAAATGTCATGGGTGGCTGGCTATAGGGGACACAAGAAAGATGCCAAAAGTTATCTGGAGTCAGGAGTTGTTGGCTTAAGTGGTAGAGCACCAGTCTTTTTTATTTTTATTTTTTTGGGGGGGTCCGGTCGTGGGGCCTGAACTCTAGGTCTGGGTGCTGTCCCTCAGCTCTTGAGCTCAAGGCTAGCGTTCTACCACTTGAGCCACAGCGCCACTTCCAGCTTTTTTCTTTTTTGCTTATGTGGTGCTCAGGAATCGAACCCAGGGCCTCATGCATGCGAGGCAAGCGCTCTACCACTGAGCCACCTTCCCAGCCCGAGCACCAGTCTTGAGTAAAAAAAGGCTGGGAAGGTGGCTTAGTGGTAGAGCGCTTGCCTCGCATGCATGAGGCTCTGGGTTCGATTCCTCAGCACCACATAAGCAGAAAAAGACGGAAGTGGCGCTGTGGCTCAAGTGGTAGAGCGCTAGCCTTGAGCTGAAGAGCTGAGGGACAGCACCCAGACCCAGAGTTCAGGCCCCACGACTGACAACAACAAAAATGCCACAGTGAGAGATGCCCCGCTCACCCCTGGATCCCGAAGGCCTCTCTGGCTCAGCAGTTCCAAGATTTCCTCAGTGATGGAAGTCCCTGAGGGGTCCAGTGAAGGGGGCCCAGGGTCCTCGGGGTCTTCCCGGGGTCCAGAAGCTGGAACTGGTGGCTGTGGCTCTGAGGAGGGGTAAAGTTCCTCTTCACTGCCATCATGCTGTGAAAAGAGGAGATGGTGAGAGCCAGAAGGGTCCTTTTCTCTCTGCTCTTTCCTTTCTTCTTCCCTCCCTCCCTCAAGTACGGGGACTTGAACTCAGGGCTTGACACTGTCCCTGAACTTTTTTTTTTTTTTGGTTAGTCGTGGGGCTTAAGCTCTGGGCCTGGGCGCTGTCCCTGCACTCTTCAGCTCAAGGTGAGCGCTCTACCACTTGAGCCACAGCGCCACTTCTGGTTTCCTAGTGGTTTTTATTGGAGATAGGAGTCTCACAGACTTTCTTGCCCAGGCTGGCTTTGAACCAAGATCCTCAGATCTCAGCCTCTTGAGTAGCTAGGATTATAGGATAGGCGTGAGCCACTGGCGCCCAGTCCTAAACTTATTCTGAGCTGCAAGTTGGCATTCTACCACTTGGGCACCACAGTTCCACTTCTGGCTTTTTGCTGACCAGCTGTGATCCTTAAATCTCAGCTTCCTGAGTAAGGAGGACACATAAGAGATATTTGACACATGGTCCCCTAAACTTTAAAAAAACAAGTTTTTGTTTTTCTTTTAAAGTACTAGAGACTGCTTCCTAAGCAAGCCCTCTCTACTACATAAGCCATGTCTCTAGTCTTTTGGTTTTTTAGGGCCTGGACGCTGTCCCTGAGCTCTTTTTGCTAGTGTTCTTCCACTTTGGACTACAGCTCCAGTTCCAGGTTTTTTTGGTCGTGGGACTTGAACTCTGGGCCTGGGCGCTGTCCCTGAGCTCTTCAGCTCAAGGCAAGCATTCTACCACTTGAGCCACAACACCACTTACAGTTTTCTAGTGGTTTATTGGAGATAAAGAGTCTCATGGACTTTCCTTCCCCGAGCTGGCTTTGAACTGTGATCCTCAGATCTCAGCCTCCTGAGTAGCTAGGATTATAAGTGTGAGCCATCAGGCCCAGCTCAGTTCCAGTTTTTGAGTGGTTAATTGGAGATAAGAGTCTCATAGGGACTTTTATGACCAAGTTGGCTTTGAACTGTGATTCTCAGATGTAAGCCTCCTGAGTATCTAGGATTACAGGCAAGAGCCACCAGCACACAGCTAGAGCTTTTTTTTTTTTTTTTCTTGCTGGTCCTCTGGGCCTGGTAACTCTCCTGAGCCTCTTTTGCTCAAGGCTAGCATTCTACCACTAGCTTATTTTTTGTTTATGTGTACTGAGGTATCAAAACCAGGGCTTCATGCATGCTAGGCAAGTACTCTACCACGAAGCCACATTTCTGGCCCCCTGGCTAGAGCTTTTTTTTTTTTTTAATTTTTATTTTTGGGTCTGGTCGTGGGGCCTGAACTCTGGGCCTGGGCGCTGTCCCTCAGCTCTTCAGCTCAAGGTTAGCACTCTACCACTTGAGCCACAGCGCCACTTCCGGCTTTTTTCTTTTTGCTTATGGGGTGCTGAGGAATCGAACCCAGGGCCTCAGGCATGCAAGGCAAGCACTCTACCACTGAGCCACCTTCCCAGCCCTAGAGCTTTTTTATAATAAGAGTTTTACTAACTTTTGTCCAGGGGACCTGAAACCATGATCCTCCTATCACCGAGTACCTGAGATTACAGGCGTATGTCATGGAGCTCAGCTTAGACCCCTTTCTTTTGTGGACTCCCAACAGCCTGGCTAAGTTCCTTTCTCCATCAGGAGTCTGAGGTCCCCAAAACTTTGTCTTGGGGTATTTCTTACCTTGAATCTAGGCTTAGCTGGGATGGAGAGAGGAAGAAAAGAAAAGATTTAATGAGCTGTAAGAATAAGATTTATTCCTTGTATGGGGGGGGAGGGTGAGGAGGCCCTTCCCCCAATCCCACCTCACCCATTCATTGCAGGCATTCCCCTGGGGGAAGAGACAGACAGACAGATGGACAGACATGGACCCATCACTGACCGTCCTGTGGGAACGTGACGTAAGGGTCTTTCAGCGGTTCTAGGGAGGAGAAGAGCAGTGTAAGGAGCCAGGTGTCACTAGAACCCCGGGGGTAGCTCTAGGGGTTACCCCTGGGGTTACTTACCAGATTGTCTATAGCCACGGCGACTGGCAGAGAGCCCAGGAGATGGAGCTGGAAGAATCAGGCAGAATCCAGCATGAGGCAGGTACCAGGCTCCCAGGGTAAGAAGGAACAATGAATACCCAGGCTCCATCTTATTTTTTTACCTGTGTTCCTTCGGCCAGGGGTGAAAATTCTAGCATCTCGAGGCCGGGGAGACCCAAGGGGAGGTGTAGGGGGCTCAAACACAGGCTTGCTCTTTGGAGCACCTGTAGGGAAGAGTTTGGGGGAGTGAGCTTATGCAGGCTTCTTTACCTACACGTGCCCGTGCCCCCAGCCCCAGGCCCCAACTCACAGTGAAGGCTGTTTTCCAAAAGAACTTGCTTTGCCTGAAAGACACCAGGATGTGCAGTTGGGGATGGGGTGGTGAGGGGCTTGTGTTCAAGATGGTTGACTGGGAATCCTTAGCACAGTGCTAGTTGGTAAACTTAATCATCTTTCCACTCCACATGAGAACATTAAGGCCAAGAGAAGGGAAATGAAAGGACTGGAAATGTGGCTCAAGGGTTGGAGAACCTGCCTCCCATGAGTGAAGTCCTGGTTTCGAGTCCAAGAGCCCACAACAGAGACTTGGCAGAGCTGGAATTTAAACCTAGGATGTGCTGGGAGCAGGTGGCTCATGAGTATCATCCTAGATTAAGGTTCAAAGCCACTCTAGGCAAGCAAGCTGTGAGATTTTTATCTGGAAGTGGTGCTGTGGCTCAAGTAGGAGAGATCAGTCTTGAGCAAAAAAAGCTCAAGGAAGACAGTGCCCAGGTCTTAAGTTCAAGCCCCAGGACTGGCACAAAAGCAGCGTTATTTTATTTTGGCGCCAGTTTGGGGGCTTGAACTCAGGGCCTAGGCTCTGTCTCCGAGCTTCTTTTTGCTTAAGGCTAGCACTCTACCAATTGGGCCACAAGAGCAGTACTTCTGGGTTTTTTTTGTTTGTTTTGTTTTTGTTGGTCCTGGGGCTTGAACTCTGGGGCTGGGCTCAGTCCCTCAGCTCTTCAGCTCAAGGAGAGCACGCTATCACCTGAGCCATCGCGCCACTTCCGGTTTTCTGGTGGTTTAATGGAGATGAGTCTCACAGACTTTTCCTTTCCAGGCTGGCTTTGAACTGCGATCCTCAGATCTCAGCCTCCTGAGTAGCTAGGATTTACAGGCGTGAGAGCCACCAGTGCCTGGCACTTTTGGCTTTTTCTGAGTTACTTTTATTGGAGATAAGACGAGTCTCATGGACTTTCCTGACTGGACTGGCTTTGAACCCTGATCCTAAGATCTCCTGAATAGCTAGGATTACAGGCGTTAGCCACTGAGCCTGGCTAGAAGACCCTCTGTACTTGAGTACCCCTGCTATGGCAGGGGATGTACCTTGGCAGGGATGGAGGCGGGGTGGTTCTCAAAGAAGAGGCGCTGGAGGCAGTGAATCCAGAGACGCTTCTCTTCTTGGTTCTTGGCCTAGAGGTGCAGTTCAGGAGCTAGGAGCCAGGTCTGGGGTGAGGGCGGGGCCCCAGCCAGCCCCGCCCACCCCACACTCACCTGAAGCAGATGCCTGTGTTTAGGAATGGTCAGATCGGACACCTTGAACCCCAGAGGGTCTCGAGGACTCTCGCTCACACTCAGGTTACAGCACTGCGAGGGGAGAAAGACAAGCTGACAGCTCTCTAGACTCCTCCTTTCTCTTCCCCCATGGAGACCTCTCCTGGGGATAAATCCAGGTTCCCAGAAGCTCTAAGCTCACAGCTGATAGCTCCTGTTGCCCGCTGATCTCGCTTTATTAGTTGGATGGTGATTATTTTTCCAGAAATGGAACCCAGGTCCTTGCTTACATGTGAGGCGAGTGTTCCAACCCTGGGCTACATTCCCAAATCCTGGCCTGATCTCTAGCACTTTTCTGTTTCTGTCAGTCATGGAGCTTGTACTCAGGGCCTGGGTTCTGTCCCTAAGTTCTTCTGCTCAAGGTTAGTGCTTTACCACTTTGAGCCACAGCTCCACTTCCAGTTTTCTGGTGGTTAATGAGATTTTCCTGCCTGGGCTGGCTTGGAACTTTGAGCCTCAGATCTCAGCCTCCTGAGTAGCTAGAATAAGAGGTAGAGGATAGACCACCACGGGTGACTCTTATTTTCTTTTTTTTTGGCCAATCCTGGGGCTTGAACTCAGGGCCTGAGCACTGTGCCTGAGCTTCTTTTTGCTCAAGGCTAGCACTCTACCACTTGAGCCACAGCACCATTTCCAGCGTTTTCTATTGATGTGGCACCGAGGAATAGAACCCAGGGCTTCGTGCATGCTAGGCACGCACTCTACCACTGAGCCACCTTCCCAGCCCCCTCTGTTTTTGAACACTGAACTTGAACTATGATCCTCCCTTCTCTGCCTAAGTAGCTGGGATGGTAGATGTGAGGCACTGCACCTGGCTTTGCTTCCCATTGTGGAGGTGGAGGCAGAAAGCGCTTTCCAGGTGTGGCCCCTGCTCCTCCATCCCCAGACTTACAAAGATATGACCCTTATAGGCATATTCTGGTCCCCGACGTTTGGCGATGAGCAGCATCCTTGAGAACAAGAAGAGCAGTCTCTCCCCTCCTCTCAGTCGGGGGCCGCCCCCTCGGAAGGCTCCCTCCAACACAAGCTCCCCAAAGGCACTGAGCTCTGGGCCAGTCCAGCCCCCCAGCCGCCGCTGAACTTCCTGCTGGGACCCACGCCCAGGCCCAGAGCCAGGCCCAAGCATGGACAGGCCAAGATGGGGAGGTTAGTGACAGGGATCTACTTGTCCCAGCCCCATCCCCCCCCTCCAAGGCTGTACCCCCTTCTCTCAGTCAGCCAGCCTGGCCACCCCCAGGTCCACCTGGAGGCGAGCTGCATGCTCCTGTTTCCGCTTCATGTCATTGATGTACCATGCCACGGCGGTCATAGACACAATCGCTTCTTCCACCATCTCCCGGCTGCCAGTGCCCGGGCCCTCAGCCCAGTGCTTACCTAGTTCCTGTGAGGCATCCGCCAGGTACACAGGATGAGGAAGAAGAAGAGAGACAGAGACAGGTAAAGGGAGAAGCTAAATCAGATGCCAGTGTCCCATGCCTGTCACCCTAGCTACTCGGGAGGCTAAGATCTGAGGATCACCATTTGAGGCCAGCTGGAGCAGGAAACTCTTAGCCAGGTGCTGGTGGCTCCACCTATCATCCTAACTACTCAGGAGGCTGAGATCTGAGGATCAAGGTTCAAAGCCAGGGCAGGGAAGTCCATCAGACTCTTTCCTCCAATTAACCACTAGAAATCCTAAAGTGTAGCTGTGGCTCAAGTGGTAGAACACTAGTCTTGAGCACAAAAGCTCAGTGACAGCACCCAGGCCCTGAGTTCAAGCCCCATGACTGACCAAAAAACAGCAAAAAAACCCTCTTTTCTCCCATGAACCACCAAAATGCTGGAAGTGGAGGTGTGACTCCAGTGGTAGAACACCAGCCTCCAGTGGATAAAAACCAAGTAAGAGCCAGGTGCCAGTGGCTCACGCCTGTCATCTTAGCTACTCAGGAGGCTGAAGTCTGACCATCACAGTTCAAAGCCAGCCCGGGCAGGAAAGGCCATGAGACTCTTATCTCCAATGAACCACCAGAAAACTGGAAGTGGCGCTGTGGCTCAAGTGGTAGAGCACTAGCCTTGAGCTGAAGAGCTCAGGGACAGCGCCCAGGCCCCGAGTTCAAGCCCTACAACTGACAAAAACAAAAAAATATAAAAAGCAAGAACAAACTATAAGGGGCTAGGGTCTGTGCACCCAAAGGTGGGGATGGATGGGACCTTCCCCGATCCCTGCCCAGTGCCCGTCTCCGGGGACCACAGCTGACCTGCAGGAGGAGGTGGTACTTGAGGATGCGCTGGACGGGTTTCAGGAGGAAACTCTGTAGGGGCAGTGAGTGGCGCAGCTGGGCCTGGCGCTCTCGCAGCCACATGGCAGCTGGCGGAGACACAGACAGCTCCCGGAGCAGGGCCAGGGAGCTGCGGGCACAGCACCCATCAGCAGGGCCTGGCAGCTTCCAGGAGGCAGGGCTGGGAGGGGGTGGTCAGCGAGTGGCCAGGATCGGGGTTGGCAGCGAGGGTCTGGTAGGGATCAGGGCTCAGTGTGTGACTGGGTGGGTCAGAGGGGAGGCCCCTGAGTCCTGGGCACTGTCTTGGTGCCCCATCAGGGACTCCTTGTCCACCCCTCACCTTGGGTAGTTCATGCAGTACAAGGTGTAGATGTCAAAATCCTCACTCTGTTGGGGAGGGGGGTCAGGGAGACAGGGGAGGAGTCAGGGAGACACCAGACCAGGTCTGAGTTTCCCATTGCCCTCTGTAGTCCAGGCCCCATCCTGAGAGGTCGTCTACTCCGCGCCCCCCTCCCTCCCCAGCCATTCCCCGGGCCCACACTCACCCTCTGCACAAAGCACTCGGCGATGCCCCCTGCACTGCTGCTGCCTTCCAAGTCCTCCAGGAGCTCACTGTGGGGGAGGGGAAGGGTGAGGACTGCCCCCCCCCCCTATCATCTCCTCCATCTCCAACCAGGGAGGACACCAAAGAGCACTGTGGGTAATAGTGATGGCCACTAGCTTCTCACAGGAAGAAGGCTGATCCACAGAAAGGGGCTAGAATGTCACTGAAGGCTGCGTCTCCTAGCTGGCATGAGCTTGGAGGGAGGAGGGGAGTTTCATGGCCTGGAGGAGGGGAGTATTCTGATCTCCCCACAACCTATACTATAGTTTTTCTTTTTTTGGTGCTGGTCCTGGGGCTTGAACCCAGAGCTTGGGAGCTGTCAGTGTCTAAGCTTTTGTGCTTAAGGCTGACACTCTACCACTTGAGCCACAGCTACACTTCCAGCTTTTTGGTGGCTCGCTGGGGAATAAGAGTCTCACAGACTTTCCTGCCCAGGCTGGCTTTGAACCTTGATCTTCAGACTCTTGAGTAGCTAGAATGACAGGTGTGAGCCCCTGGCAGCTGGTTTATAAGTCTTTTACTCATTGATTACTAACTCAGGGACCGAAGCCAGGGCCCCCTGGATGCTAGGTTAGTGCTCTACCACATGTGCCACACTCAAGTTTTGGTTTTCCTTCCCCCCGGCCAGTCTTGGGGCTTAAACCCACGGTCTGGGCACTGTCCCTGAGCTTCTTTTGCTCAAGGCTAGCACTCTACCACCTGAGCCACAGCAACACTTCCAGCTTTTTCTGTGTATGTGGTACTGAGGAATGGAACCTAAGGCTTCATGCATGCTAGACAAGCACTCTACCACCAAGCCACAATCCCAGCCCCTGAAGTTCTTATTTTTAAGTTCTAGTCATTAGGACAAAGCCCCCCCCCTTTTTTTTTTTGCCTAGGCTGGCTTCAAACTATTGTTCCTCCTGCCTCTACTTCTTGAGTGGCTGGGATTACAGGTGTGAGTCACCGATCACCACTCTCAGCTCTGAAGCTACAATGACCTTAACAGCCTGTGGCAACCCTAAAACCGAGTCAAGGCACTGTGAGGCAGGATCCTCAGCATCGTTCAGCCCTCCATGTCTGCGTGGTTTCCTAGGCAACTGGGAAAGTTCACTGACCATACCAATGCTCCATAGATCATGGCCTTGAGGCTCCAGGGGACTGTCAGATTCAGCCCTGAGGCCAGATCTAATACTAAGACTCCCCCCATGTTAATCCTTGGTTCTTGTCCCAGTATGGGGAGGACCTTATCTCAATGCTGTAAGCACTCACCCCAACTCTGGGTCCTATCTCCCCAGCATGATCCTGGTCTGGTGTCAGACCAACCAAGACGGGGGATCCCCCCACCTCCCCCCTCCCACCCCTGACCTGTTGAACTCGTAGATATCCTCGATATTGGCGAACAGTGTGCCCACTTGCTCCACACTCAGCCCCAGGACCCCAGCGCCATCCAGCAGGGGCCCTAGGTAATCCTGTGGGGCAAATCACGTGTGTTAGGGTTCGGGGTCTGGCCTAAAGCTTCCCGCTGCCCCCCACCTCCACCTCCACGATGCTGGCACCTCACCTCCACGAGGCTGCGGAGGTCCCTGACATAGGCGCGCTCCGTCTCCACGATCTCACGGGCCACCCGCTCCAATCTCGAGGGTTTTGCTGACCCTGGGGTCCCCATGGGCGACAGGTGCAGGCGGATGGGGGGCCCTGGCAGGGGCTCTGGCTTGGAGGATGGGCAGACTGGGGTAGGCCCCGGGGCTGGGTCTCCCTCAGAGCCCACAGTACTGAGAGAGGTGGAGCTCCCAGAACCTCGGGGAGAGGCCATGGCCGGGGCTGCGGGAATGGGGAGGGGATCAGGGTTTCTCCTTCCAATGCGCCCACCCTCATCCAGTCAGCATTTCCGGGTGGTCCCTCCTCCTCCCTTCCCTCCCACTACCTTGTCTTTCTTTCTTACTTTTTGTCAATTGTAGGGCTTGAACTCAGGGCCTGGGTGCTGTTCCTGGGCCTCTCTGTGCTCAAGACTAGCGCTCTATCACTTGAGCCACAGCACCACTTCTGATTTTTTTTTTTTTTTGGTCCTGTTGTGGGGCCTGAACTCTGGGCCTGGGCGCTGTCCCTCAGCTCTTCAGCTCAAGGCTAGCATTCTACCACTTGAGCCACAGTGCCACTTCTGGCTTTTT